CATAGTGGCCAAATGTGCCAGCAGGATAGACAGCACAGCTAATGTTCTTTTTAGGACCTTCTCATATTTGTCCACGCTGCAGTCTAGAGATTTCTGCAAAGGGGAAGAAGAAACAGAGACATACCTGACTATCTCAGAGAATAACGCAACTCAATAGTGTACAGAACAATGCAATCAAATGGCTAAAACATGGATTCACAGCCTGCATGCCACAGGTTTCCGAAAAGTGGTTGTGTACTTATTTGATGTTACCTATTCTGATTGTATGTTCCATGAGGGAAGGAAAATACTGCATCAGTCTTGTTTACCAGCGTATCTCAGCTCCTAGTACTGTGCTGGGCACGTAACAGCTGCTTAATACATATTTGTAAAATTTTTTTTGAGACAGAGTCTCATACAGTCACCCAGGTTAGAGTACAGTGGCATCTTCATAGCTTAATGCAACATCAAATTCCTGAGCTCAAACGAGGCTCTTCCCATAGCTCCTGGTATCTGAGACTACAGGTGCATGCCATTATGCCCAGCTAATTTTTTCTATTTTTAATAGAGGCAGGGTCTCACTGTTGCTCAAGCTGGTCTTGAACTCATGACCTTAAGCAATCCTCCTACCTTGGCCTCCCAGAGTGCTAGGATTATAGGCATAAGCCACCGTGTCCAGCCTGTCAAATGTTTTTGTGAAAAGCCCATATGGTCTATTAAAGTTACTATGCCTTCTCTCTTCCTCCTTTCCAAATCTCATCCCTACTCTCTCCTCCCCCACCATCTACATTTAAACATACAAACAGAGAGATACATGAAAATAGTTGTATCTGCCATAAATCAGGCAGTCATTTAACCTCTTTGTGCCTTAGTGTCCTCATCTGTAAAATGAGGAAAATAATAATACCTACTTCAAAGGACTACCAGAAGGATTAAGTGAATTCATATCTGTGGAGCACTGATAACTTTACCTGGCATGTAGCAAGTGCCATGTAGGTGTTCATTAAGTTGCAACGCAGTTCTAACACTGACTACTGGGAGTTAGAACAGACTTCAGAGGTTAACGACATGGTTCTCCACAAGACTTAACTTCAGACACCAGTCATAAGCCCTGGGGTTCCTAGACCAACTGCTTTGCTCACGGTCTAAAAATTGAGAGCTTCCTACTTTGTTCTCTGGGGTCTGATAATTCACTAGAATGACTCATAGAAGTTTTATTATAAAACGCACACATCAGGCCTAGCCAAATGAAGAGATGCATAGACAGAGGTCTAGGAGTGGTCCAAATGCGGAGCTTACATGTCCTTGGGAATGTGTCCCTCTCCTGGCACTTTGACGTATGATTACCAAGCAGGATGCTCACCTGAGCTTTAGTGTCTCCAGTTTTTATTGGGGTTCCATCATGTGGGCCTGGTTGTTTGAATCATTGGCCGTGGGATTGAGCTCAATTTCCAGCCCCCTCTTCTTCACTCAGCTCAGACTGATTCCGTGGCTAAAAGCCTCAGGCCCTCTGATCCCATTGTTGTTCTTTCCAGCATGGCCAGGCCCCATCCTGAAAACATGGAAGGGCCCTCTGTGAGTCATCTCATGAGCATCAACTCAGGCATATTCCCAGGGGCTCACCATGAGTGACAGGGACACTTAGGAAATTCCTAGGCTTTAAAGGGTAGCTCCCAGAAACTGGGGATGAAAGCCAGTCAATTTTTTATTACACAGCATAATATTTACTGAATTGAATGAGTAGAGAAGCGAGGAAAGAATTCTAAGAAAAAGGGTGTCTAAAAAGAAAGAGGCAGGAATATATCATGCCATGGCATAGTAGGAAGACCCACTCTCTGCAGATAATTTTTGCGACACAGTAGTCTCCCCTTATCTGGGGTATCTCTTCTGTGGGTTGAGCCCCATGAGGTACAATATAAGAAGATATTTTGAGAGAGAGAACACACTCACATAACTTATATTACAGTAAGTTGTTATAATTGTTCTGTTTATTATTAGTTATTGTTAATATTTTATTGTGTCTAATTTACAAATAAACTATCATAGGAAAAGGCATAGAATAAACAGGGTTCATTACTATCTTGTGAATGTGTCCACTAGGGGTCTTGGAATGTATTCCATGTGGATAAGGGGGGTCTGCCGTACTGAAATGCACCAGCTTTACGTCAAATGGCCAGTGTTCTGACTGTGGTACTGCTATTCACCAATCATAGTTCCATCTTGTTTGAGTCTATGGATCATTGTAAACCACCTGAAATCCTTTCTGTGAGAGGCAGGCATAATTTAAATATATACACATAGGGATTCAGACAGCAAATATTTTTATTAATTTTATTTCTCACAATACTGTGGGTTGATTTGGCACTTTCTGGCTCCATATGATGGCATCAGCGCCACATGCAGTTCATGTGACTGCATTCAGCTGGCCAGTAGCCAGGCTGAAAGATCCAGGAAGCTCTCCCTCATACATTGGGGCCTGGCTAGAGTGCTAAAGTGACTCAATTCTCACCCACCCAGGAAGCCTCTCTCTACATGTGACAGCTCATCTTCCAGTGCTTCTCCTTGTAGTGGCCTCTCTTCTCCAGTAGGACAACCTGGATTTCCTGACAAGAGACCAAAAGCAGAAGCTGCCAGTCTTTGTCCACCATGATCTGTTGGTCAAAGCAAATCACAAGAGCAGCCCGGTTTCAAGCGGGGGAAGGAGGGGAACGCTCCCTCTCTTGATGGGAAGAGCAGCATGTTGCATGTGTGTACAAGGAGGAGAGGAATCACTGCAGCCATCTTTGGAGACTACGTTCTTGGACCCTCCATTTCCTCATCTGAAAATGGGAATTTTAATATCTTCATCTAGTAAACTAACGAGAGAATTAAGGGACACATACTGTGTGATGCATGATATCATTTCATAAATTTTATTTTTATTTTTTTGAGACAGAGTCTCACTATGTCGATCTGGGTAGAGTGCTCTGGCGTCACAGCTCACAGCAACCTCTAACTCTTGGGCTTAAGCGATTCTCTTGCCTCAGCCTCCCAAGTAGCCGGGACTACAGGCACCCGCCACAACACCTGGCTATTTTTTGTTGTAGTTGTCGTTGTTTAGCAGGGTAGGGTCAGGTTCGAACCTCGGTGTATGTGGTCAGCACCGTAACCACTGAGCTATAGGCTCCGAACCCATTTTATAGATTTTGCAGTGCTAAACAAGTAGAAAATACTGTAGTGATGGGTGATCAAAGTGGATTAGAAGAATGAGCGCAAAATATACAGTGCTTTGGGGGAGTTTACTAGAGGGAGAGGAAACAGAAAAATATATCTGCTTTACAAGTAGATACAGGAGGTTATTGTAACTGCATTTTTAAAAAAAATATGGAATCCTTCATGAATTTGCATGTCATCCTTGCACAGGGGTCATGCTGATCTCTGCATTGTTCACCTCTGTACATGTGCTGCCAGAGCAAGCACTGTAATTGCATTTTTTGAGCATTTACTATGTGTCAGGCACTGTAGTAATTGCATTACAAGTATATAAGATGGATATTTTATTGCCATTTTAGAGAAAAGTAATGACTGGTAAGTGGCAGAGTCAGAATTAGAACCCAATTCTATTTCCAGAATCTTAATTACTGCAGCCAGAGTTTCATTTATCACTTATATCACAATCAATTGGCAAATACTGAAGGCAGAACTCAGATTCTGCTTTTTAAAAACAGTTACATTAATGTTGGAGAAGCATTCAACCTCGTTGTACTATAGTGAACCTTCCCAGGTTTTTCAGTAGTTCAAGGACACTAAGAAGGCAGGTTTAGAGGAAATTTTTTCTTGGAGGGACAAAGGAAAGTCTGGAATAAGGAAAGTGCCTTAGAGAAGGCAAAGTGACTTAGAAGTGGAGGGAATAACAAGGCGCTTTAAAAAGATGCTTTCTAGAGATTGATGCTAAAATTAGAGAAATGTGAGTAAGACTAGAAAGGTTAGAAGCCAGACCCAACTATATTAACCAAGTTTATATTTTGTTCATTAATTCATTTGTTTTATGCCTCTTTGCCTTTGAGCTTACCCTTTCCTCTACTAGGAAAGGATTTCCAAGTTCCTTCTTCTCTCTCTCCACCAAAGATTTCCAGTCTGAGGATGAACATTTGCCTCCTCTGGGAAGCCTTTCCTGACCCCTTCAGCCTAGGAGGGCCAGGTGTGTGCTGCCCCTTCCCTCATTCCATCTTTCACAGGCCCTTTATTGTCAATGTTTTATAATCCTCCTTCAACACTGTGAGGGTAAGGACTGTATGGAATAGAGAAAGGAGAAGGGAGAAATCAGACATGATTCTTAGTAAGAATCACTGGGTGAAACTGGAGGTGAAGGAGTCACTGAAAAGTTGTCCATTGTTCTTTGAAAACGAGGAAGGCTTGTAGAGAATACAAGATGAACATCGTGGGTTTATCAAATGGCAGCGGACACAGAGCAGCCTTGTGGTTGTCTCTTCATGACGACGCCAATTCATAACTGCCCAGCAGATCAGTCCCTTACACCATTTCATATATTTTATCTTAGGCCACGTAACAAATGGTTGGAATTTTGTAAATACAAACACCAGAAAAGATATTTTTTTGTAACCATAGTCACAAGTCGGCCTAACCCTATTACTTCAATTGTTAGAAAGAAATGGTAAAACAGGCCCCTCATGTTGCTATGATAACCAAATGTGACAATGCATGTCAAAATGCTTTATAAAATTGGTGGCAGGCAATAATATTTCTACTATTAGTATCATTCATCGACTGCACCCTAGCCCGCTCTGCCTCTTCCTAAACCACACCTTACGGACGAATTACGGAGTTTAGCCCCTTCCTAGTTCCGCGGCGCTGCCCTAATCCAAGATGGCGTCATTAGCTTCGGTCAGCTCACCCCCCTGGTTGCACTACGTGCGCCTTTCTGGAACTGCAGGTTGGGTGGATTCAACTTCTCCGTCGTCCTGTGATGATGAAAACCCGGATGCGCCTTTAAAGCGGGCAGTCCAGGTTTGCGCAGGCGCAGCGCGGCCGCGGGTGGGCGGAACTGGTCGGGATGAGTGGCGGAGGGACAGAGACCCCTGTGGGTTGTGAGACCGCCGTGGGCGGCGGCAACAAGAAGAGGGACTCTCTGGGGACCGCAGGCACAGCGCACCTCATTATCAAGGGTACGGAGCGGCAGGGCCGTGGTTCCTGGTGGATCTCAGCGCAGCCCCACCTCCCAAGCTGAGCCCTCTGACCAGGGCCGCGCTCCAGGCTGACATCGATCTCCGGGGCCCGCGCGCGTTTGTGCGGGATGGGGGAGCCTTGTCGGTCCTTGCCTGTTTGCCAGGCCAGATGCTTCCCAGTAACAGTCAGCCGACCTAACTCATCTTGCTCGCTTTCCTCTGTTGCATCCCTGAACTCTTAGGCCCGCCTCCTGACCCCGGGCGCAGAGCTTCGTTGGACAGCCTCACGACCGACCTGTAATGTCAAGGACGGGAGTTGAGAGCTGGGAAGCCGTCGCTTAGGAATTGTGTGACTTCGAGTCATTCGCTTTACTCACTTTCCTACCCTGTTTGCTCCTGGGTTGCGCGAGGAGTAAATGAGATAACATTTATATGAAAGCGCCCTAAAAGCCTTACCCGTGCAGAAGCGTCCGTTTGTCTGGCGTGCTTTGAGCTGGGAGAAGGTTCCAGCCTGGTTACAACCTGGATTGTCACAGACCCTGCCTTAGCTTTGGTTTCCCAAAGGTCATATCGACCCTGTTTCCTGCGGGAAGAGTTTTGCCAGTTAGATACTACACTTTCTCATTGACCATCCTTCCTTAACTCTGAACTTAGCCTGTCAGTCCCACTATCCTCAGTAGGGAAGCCTTTTATGATTCCAGAATCCTTCAGCACTACCGGGGGGATGGTATCCTTGGGCGCTGTGTGTTTTATTTTAACCTTATCTGTCAGGTTTGTGGGCAGCCCCAGCTCAGCTGGCTGTGGCTGTTTTTAAACTTTGTATTTCAGGTTGTTTCTTACGTCTAATTAGGAATGTGAGAGTGTTACATGATTATTAGCGCTAAATTAGAATTATATATGCAATCTTAGTGAAGTATTACTTTAATTTTTTAAATTGTAAACAACATAATTTACATTTCTTTATGAAGGGTACAGTTCAGCAGCCTTAAGTACATTCTTATTGTTGTGCTACCGTCACATCTATAGAACTCTTCAACTTGCAAAATGGACACTGTATCATGAAACAACCTCTCCCCTATTCCCTAGCAACCGCCATTCTGTCTGAATTTGACTAGTCTCTGTACTGCCTGTAAGTTGAACCATATAATATTTTTCCTTTTGTGACTGGCTTTTTTCACTTAGCAAAGTATCCTCAACATGTATCCATGTTGTAGCATGTGTCAGAATTTCTGTCCTTTTGGAGACTGAGTAATATTCCATTGTCTGTATTTACCACGTTTAGTTTATCCATTCATCTGTCAATGGACTTTTGTGTTGTTTTCATGTTCTAGTTATTGTGAATAATGCTGCTGTGAACTTGAGTGCACAAGTATCTTTTCAAATACCTGCTCTCAAGTCTTTGGGGTAAATACCCAGAAGTAGGATTGCTGGATCATATGGTAATTCTGTTTTTAATTTTTTGAGGAATTGCTATACAGTTTTTTATGTTGGTTACAGCGGTTTACATTCCCACTAATGGTGCACAGGGGTTCACCTTTCTCCACAACCTTACCAACATTGTTATTTCACCAACATTATTATGTTATAATCTTTTACATCTTACCAACGTTGTTATTTTATAATCTTTTACATCTTACCAACATTGTTATCTTATAATCTTTTACATCTTACCAACATTGTTATTTTCTTTCTCTGGTAGCAGCCATCCTGATGGATATGAGATGGTGTCTCATTGTAGTTTCATTTGCATTTCCATGATGGTTAGTGATGTTAAGCACCTTTCCATATACTTATTGGCCATTTGTGTATCTTCTTTAGAGAAATGTCTATTCAAGTTCTTTGTTCATTTTTTGGTTCAGGTTTTTGTTGTTAAGTTGTAAGAGTTCCTTACATATACCAGATATATAAAGTGGTTATATTTTGTGCTTATATTTTTTCTACTTAGCATACTTTGCAGGATGTGTCCTAATCCAATTTGCAAGAATAGGGAGTTGGAATCTGCCCAATTGCATGTCTGTAAAAATCAGAAATTTGGGGAACAGATTACTAATGAATGAACATGAATAATACTTTTTTTATTGAGACAGAGCCTCAAGCTGTTGCCTTGGATAGAGTGGCATGACATCACAGGTCACAGCAACCTCCAACTCCTGGGCTTCAGCAATTCTCTTGCCTCAGCCTCCCAAGTAGCTGGGACTACAGGCTCCCGCCACAATGCCCAGCTATTTTTTGTTTGTAATTGTCATTGTTGTTTGGGAGGCCTGGCTGGATTTGAACCCACCAGCTCTGGTGTATGTGGCTCGAGCTACAGGTGCCAAGCCAATAATACATATTCTTACTTGGAAATTTAACTTCTCCAGGAATTTTGACATTTACATCTTAAACTATAGATGAATTACTAAGAAGAGTTAATGGACTGACTCACCAAAACAGTTAAAAATCAGAACTTTTTTCCTTATTTATGACTTTCAGACCTTTACTTTCAGAAAAAGTAAAGAGACTTATAAGGAATACACACTACCCACCTTAATAAATAAATCATTGAAAGCCCCACTGTGTATCTTGCTTTGATTGCATTCGTTACCCTCCCTCCTTGCTAAAAGCAACCACTGTCCTGAATTTGATCTTTATCATTCTCATCTGTCACCTGGTATGTGTCTCAAAAGGAAGTGTAATTTTGCATACGTTTAGACTTCATATAAATGGCTCTAAACTTTCTAAAAGTTGCTTTTTTGTCCAGTATTATATTTGTGGGATTTATCTATGTTAACGTGACTTTAGTGTATTCATTTATACTTGCTGATTTATGGTGTTCCAATGTATAATTATGTTTAAAGTGTTCCCTTTTTTTCTTTGACATGTAATATTAATTACATCTATGCTGTAGTAAATGTACTTAGAAATACCTGTTCATTTGTGTAAAAGTTTTTCTAGCTTATATACCAAGGCATAAAATTACTAGGTATACATCTTCAGTTTTATTGGATATTTTCAGATTGCTCTCAAAAGCAGTTATATTTTAATACACACACTCTGGCAGTGGATGTAGTGGATGGCAGTCCTCTTAATCCATGGACTAAACTGGATTTTAACCTTCGTGTGTTGGTGGGGAAGCGGGAAAGATTATGCCACTTAGCATGGATTAACCCTGAATTTCATTTTGTCTTTATAGATCTTGGAGAAATTCATTCAAGGCTCTTGGATCACAGACCAGTTATTCAAGGTGAAACACGTTATTTTATAAAGGAATTTGAAGTGAGTATTTAAAACTTACTTTATAAAAACACTTCCCCAATTGTTAGTGTGTTTATATGCAGAACAGAAATTCCCTAGTTCTAAACTCTGATTTCAGTTCACATCTTTATGAAATATACAAACAGAAATTATGGAGAGACAAAAATGCTTAGGTTTTTTCTTCCTTTTTGTTCTTTCTTTCTTCTTTTTCCTTTTGTTTTTGTTTAAAGGGTCTTGGTATGTTGCCCAGGCTAGTCATTGGGCAACTATTGGGCTCAGGCAATCTTACTGCTTAGTTGGGACTACAGGTGTATGTGCCCGGCTCAGAAATGCTTGTTTTTAATGGGATGAGTACAAGACTAGACAGCAGGAGACTCGGGTTCATGGTCTGGTGCTAACTCTGAATTTAATGTCTGTCAATCTCAATTGTTTTTAATCTATAAATTGAGATTAGTGAAAAAAAAAAAGATTTTTGAGATTGATGGATCTGAGCTTTCCAAACCCATTTTCTACATTTTTTTCCTCAGTTGGGGCATCAGCAGCCACTCCAGTTAAAACTTGAGAATGATCTTTGGCTATTCTTTCCCCCATAGAGCCCATATTCAGTGACCAAATCTTCTCTAGATGTTAGCTCATAAAGATCCACTTCTTCTGACAGATATGACTGCTTTATCAACCAACTGAGAGCCAGTTTTTCCCCTGCTGCCAGAGCAACCTAACATTATTTCACTTTTTTAAACTCTTTGGTAATATTTGCAGTCTATAAGATAAGTCTAAGCATCCTTCTATGACCTGGGCCCTTTGTAGTTGTACCTCTCCCACTCTTCTCCTTGTATACTGTCCCAGCAATACTGATGCACCAGCATGCCATCCTATTTCATATTACTATAAGTTTTGCACATGTCATGTGACAGTGAGTTCTCCTGGGTTACTATTCATCCTGAAAGGGAAAGAACTCTTTGTTTCATCGGATTGGATTCACGGGGAAACCTTTATGCTCCTGTTGAGAGAAAAGCTAAGTATAAACTGGCTACCAGCAGCTAAAAGGGGCCATTCGTTGCTGTGCTGTGGATATGGACGGGAAGAGGGTCAGGAGCTCCTGCACCTGGTCCCCACTCTGCCTCCCTATAGAAGCCACTCAATCATTCAGTATCTTTGTCTACCAAAAGAAACTAAAATACCTTTTTTTCAGAAAAGCAAAATAGCTTTGTGCAGTGCAGTATTATAGCCAAGGAGGTTTATCGAAGGTACAACTATTGCTTAAAAAAAAACAAAAAAACTCCATAATACTTCACAGGGTTGTTGTGAGGATTAGACACTGGCATATCTTGGAATATCGTCTAGTATCTAGAATTAGCTATTTAGTTAGCTGTTTTCATTGTTGTCATCATGATTATCATTATTTATTATTTCTATAGTGTAATAAGAATTACGTGGAACACGGAAAATTATCCGGAGACTATCCATAACCATTCTGTGCAAAGATAATTACCAATTCCATAGTGAGAATAAAGTGGAAATTTCTATGCAAACTTGCTCTGAGTCCTTGCAGGGATTTCCAGCCTGGGGGAGTATTTGAGGACTGTTTTGCTTATCTGTAGTGTTAGACAGTGAAAAGGTTTGCTTAGATCTTCTTTTGGTTTTTGCTCATCAGCTTTCTTTAGTGTTCGTGTATTTAATGTCTGTCAAGGCAGCTCTTGATTCTTCCAGTGTGTGGCAGAAAAAAAGATGGTGTGTTGTATAATTGCTTATTGAATATTCCACATGTAAAGTGTGGATTTAGTTATTCTTAAATGTGGGAGTTATGTTTGATTCTTCTTTTTTCCTTCACTTCAGCAACCAGGCTATCAGTAAGACTACCTCCAAAACTTAAAACAAATCTTAAATCTTTCTTTCTTTCTTTTTCCTTTTTTTTTTTTTGAAGCAGACTTTTACTTTGTTGCCCTCAGTAGAGAGCTGTGGTGTCACAGCTCACAGCAACCTTAAACTCTTGGGTGTAAGCGATCCTCTTGCCTCAGCCTCCCAAGTAGCTGGGACTACAAGCGCCAGCCACAACGCCCAGCTACTTTTTAGACCTGGGGTCTCCCTCTTGCTCAGGCTGGTCTCCAACTCGTGAGCTCAGGCAATTCACTCACCTTGGCCTCCCAGAGTGCTGGGATTACAAGTGCGAGCCACCCTGCCCAGCCTATGCTTAAAAATCTTGATGATCTCTGACTCCTACTCATCTTGAGAACTTTGTGGTACACAACTCTTCATTTACTGGGCTTCAGCCATACTTTCTTCTTTCCTTTTTCTTTAACACATCATGATTATTCTACATCAGTAATTCTGTCTTCCTAAAATGTTCCTTGTCCCTATTTTTAGCATGGTCTCATCTTTTTTGTTTAGATTGCAGGTTAAATATCACTTCTGGCCCTTTAATCCAAAGTCACTGAAGCACCCTGTCATGTCATCCCTAATTTACTTCATAATACAGCACTATATTTTTTTTCTGATGCTATGTAACAAGTTACCACGAATTTAACAATATAAAACAGCTAAACACCTAAAAACATAACTGTCCTGTAGGTCAGAAATCTGGGCATAGGGCTGAGATCTTAGCACAGGGTCTTAGAAGGCTAAAATCAAGGTATTAGACAGGTTGGGTTCTCATTTGGGGTTTGGGGTTCTTTTCCCCACTCACATGGTTGTGGAGGACTCAGTTCCTTGGTATGGGGGCCACTCATATTCCTCCTCACTTGGCTGCTTCCATCTTCAAAGCCTGGAATGAAGAGTCTCTCACACTTTAAATCTCTCTGGCCTAGAGAAGCCTAGTCCCTTATTTAGACTTACCTGAAAACCCTTTACTACAGCACCTAAACTTGGGTTAGATTGAGTTAGCTGGGAGCAGGTGTGTGCACACTGTGTGTGGGGGGGGCCCTTTAGGATCATTTAGAATTCTGCCTACCATAGCACTTAAAACTACCTGATACCTTTCCTATTATTTACTTATTTATCACCTTCCTTCCTTAGAGTATCTTACTAGCTATAATTACTTGTTTTACAAGACTTAGTTTTATTTTTAAAATGGGAACAATATATACTGCAGAGTTTTTGAGTTTTAATAAAGATCAAATGATACATCATTTTTAAAATCTCTGGTATAGGTTCGGCGCCTGTGGCGCACTGGTTATAGCACCAGCCACATACACCAAGGGTGGAGGATTCCAACCTGGCTGGGACCAGCTAACCAGCAATGACAGCTGCAACAAAAAATAGCCGGGTGTTGTGGTGGGCCCTTGAAGTCCCAGCTACTTGGGAGGCTAAGGCAAGAGAATCAGTTAAGAGTTGGAGGTTGCTGTGAGCTGTGATGCCATGGCACTCTACCCAGGGTGACAGTTTGAGACTGTCTCAAAAAATAAAAGAAAATTTTCACAT